GTCATAAGCTATCTGCTTGCAAAAATTCATCCAAATCCGTTCAGACTTTTCCGCGTATTAATTTAATTAAACTTTTTTAGCAGGTGGTAACTCTTAAAAAAAGGTAGCCTATTTTTCAACCAAGCTCATAAGCTATCTGTGTGAAAACTTCCATGCAAATCAGTTCACTCATTTCCGCGTATTAATTAAACTAAACATTTCTAACAGGTGGCAACTCTTAAAAAAGTAGCCTTTTTCCTAACCTAGGTCATAAGCTATCTGTGTGCAAAATTTCATGCAAATCCGTTAATCGTTTCCGCGTATTAACTTAATTAAACTTTTTTAACAGGTGGTAACTCTTCCAAAAGATTAGCCTATTTTCCACTGTAGGTCATAAGCTATCTGCTTTCAAAATTTCATGTAAATCCATTCAGTCCTTTCCGCGTATTAATTTAATGAAACTTTTTTAACAGGTGGCAACTCTTAAGAAAAGTACCCTATTTTCCAACCTAGGTCATAAGCTATCTGTGTGCAAATTTTCATGCAGATCGATTCAGTCGTTCGCGCATATTAAATAAATTAAACTTTTTTAACAGGTGGCAACTCTTAAAAAAGAGCCTATTAACCAATCTGGCCCATAAGCTATCTTCGTACAAAATTTCATGCAAATTCGTTCAGTCGTTTCCGCGTGATGATTTCCCAAACATCCAAACATACAAACTTTCACATTTATAATATTAGTAAGATTAGTAAGATATTAGTAAGATAAGATAGTAAGATTTACTGGCTTCCGTGTACAATTATGTGTACACTAGAGTGGTTAAAAAAATACTGTTTTTGGAAATTCAGAAACGCTACATCAAAATATTGTTATTTGTGATAAAAAAAAGAGACACGTATTTTTTTATTTCGAAAACAAAGTTTTTTTAGAGGTTGCGATGGTCGGTTTTTTTATTAAAACGCTGATGATTTTTATACCCGAGCGCACTTGAGCACAAGGGTATATTAATTTTTTTCACTTAACGGTTGTTTGTAACAGCCAAAACGAATCGAGATAGATATAGATAAATGTATACGTAAATGCTCAGAATGAATAGAGAAGTCGATTAAGCCATGTCTGTCTGTAATTCCGTCTGTCCGTCCGTCCGTGTACACGATAACTCGAGCAAAAATTGATATATCTCAACGAAATTTGGTATGTAGGTTTCCATTAATCCAAGAAAGGTTGGTATTGAAAATGGGCGAAATCGGACTGTAACCAGGCCCACTTCCCATATAACGGTAATTTCCAGAAATACGAAAACTGCGATATTTTAGTAACTACTGAAGATAATTCACTCAAAATTGATATTTACAATAATTTTTAGACGAAAAATAAGAATATTATAAATTTTTGGAAAATGGGCGTAGCCACGCCCACTTATGGTTACATGTGTATATCTTGGTAACCGCTGCACCAATTTCTTCCAAACTTGGCACAGTTGTTGGCCTTCGCATAACATACCAAATGGCCGAAAATTTTTAAAATCGGACAATAACCACGCCCACATCCCATATAACGGTAATTTAGAGAAATACAAAATCTTCGATAAATCAGTAAATATTGAAGCTAATTTATTCAAAATTGATGCTTGCAACAATTCTTTACCAAGAAATACGTTTATGGTAAAATTTTGGAAAATGGGCGTGGCACCGCCCACTTATGATCACATATATGTATATCGGTAACCGTTCTACCAATTTGTACCAAACTCGGTATTTTTATTGTGCTTGCCACATAAAAGCAAAACGTTGAAAATTATTGAAATCGGACTAAAATTACGGCCGCTTTTCATATAACGGTAAATTTCAGAAATGCTTGAAACTTCAATATTTCGAAATTTAAGGACGCTAATTTACTCAAAATTGATACACCCTGGCTTACCATCTAGCGGTAGGTTTCGGAAAGGTGAAAAAACTTTCTTACCTGTTTTATTTTCGTAATATGTTAAAATGCAGCTAAAAATGTGGTTTTTACATGTAATTACTCTNAATTCCGTCTGTCCGTCCGTCCGTGTACACGATAACTCGAGCAAAAATTGATATATCTCAACGAAATTTGGTATGTAGGTTTCCCTTAATCCAAGGTAGGTTGGTATTGAAAATGGGCGAAATCGGACTGTAACCAGGCCCACTTCCCATATAACGGTAATTTCCAGAAATACGAAAACTGCGATATTTTAGTAACTACTGAAGATAATTCACTCAAAATTGATATTTACAATAATTTTTAGACGAAAAATAAGAATATTATAAATTTTTGGAAAATGGGCGTAGCCACGCCCACTTATGGTTACATGTGTATATCTTGGTTGTTGGCCTTGGTGCAGCATACCAAATGGCCGAAAATTTTTAAAATCGGACAATAACCACGCCCACATTGCATATAAAGGTAATTTAGAGAAATACGAAATCTTCGATAAATCAGTAAATATTAAAGCTAATTTATTAAAAATTGACGCTTGCAACAATTCCTTACCAAGAAATGCGTTTATGATAAAATTTTGGAAAATGGGCGTGGCACCGCCCACTTATGATCACATATATGTATCTCGGTAACCGTTCTACCAATTTGTACCAAACTCGGTATTTTTATTGTGCTTGCCACATAAAAGCAAAACGTTGAAAATTATTGAAATCGGACTAAAATTACATATAACGGTAAATTTCAGAAATGATTGAAAAGGCAATATTTCGAAATTTAAGGACGCTAATTTACTCAAAATTGATACACCCTGGCTTACCATCTAGCGGTAGGTTTCGGAAAGGTGAAAAAACTTTCTTACCTGTTTTATTTTCGTAATATGTTAAAATGCAGCTAAAAATGTGGTTTTTACATGTAATTACTCTGGTATTATTGGGAACATTCCCTTAACTACATATCTGTCTTGGACAGTTAGAATAAACCTACTAGTTCCCGAAAATATGCTTTCCAAAAGAGAATACTAAAATGAAAACGTTGATACTGAACGATTTACGTATTGTCATGGGTTGGAACTTGTTACCAGGGGTTTCTGGGATTGCTAATTAGGATCCTGAAGTCAGTTTTTCAAAATTCTAAATGGCGGATCCAAAATGGTGACCAATATTTTTAAATATGATTGGATTTGTTCAAAACCAGGCACTCCAGAGTTTTTGGGGTCGGTGATTACGAATCTGAAGTCAATTTTTTTAAATTCAAAATGACGGATCCAATATATCGATAAAATTCTTAAAAAATTACTAAAATTAAAACGTTGATACTGAACGTTTTAAGCATTGTCAAGGGTGGAAACTCGTTACCAGTGTGTTCCTGGGGTTGCTGATTAAGAATCTGATGTCAGATTTTCAAACTTCAAAATGACGAATTCAATATGGCGGTCAATTAAAAAAAAATTGTATAAGTCTATCAACCGGTGACAGGTATGTAATAAAGGGAACGTTCCAAACCAAATTTTCAGCTGCATTTTACCATATCACAAAAATAAAAAAATTGAGAACATCAGCGTTTTTTATAAAAAAACCGACCAGCGAAACCTCTAAAAAAACTTTTCTTTTCGAAATAAAAAAGTACGTGTCTCTTTTTTTATAACAAATAACGAGAATTCTAGATAGCGTTTATGATTTTCCAAAAAAAAATTTGTTTAAACCACTCTAGCGTACACTCATGTTAAAGTGAATGACACTGTTAGTTTTTATGAACTATATTTTATTTATATACCAGAATATTGTTAAAAAAACAAGTACTCTGGCGTTTTAAAGTATTATCTGTTACCTACATTCATAATTTTGCCTTGAATATAAATGTACTGAAAAGTACTGATTTTTTTTAGCATGAAGAAGTCTAACGTACTGACTTTGCGCACAAAAAATCTGGCAGCCCTACTGGAATGACACAAGGAGAATCTGCTTTAATACTATACTGCAATGCAAATACTATTGTAAGTAATTGTTCGATTTTTCGTGTGATCCAGTGAAATAAGTGCAAAAACAAAAACTTTGCAATTTATTTTTATTGTGAGTTTTTCTAACTTAATATCAAAATGAGCGTAACTAGAGAGCAGTTAATTGAGATTCTGAAACAACAAAATGAACAAAATAGAAGAGAATTTAATGCCCGGTTAGATGAAGTTATGCAAACACTTCGGTGCTTAGAGCCGCCATCTGCGGAGAATTATCTTCCAGTGAAAATGTCAAGAAGCCGCAGAGAAAAAAGATGCCGCCTACAGGGCCACGCTGCTTTCGGGCGCAACGCGAGCCATGTGGGACCGTTATAGGGAACTGAAGAAGGAAGCGAGACGTATTTGCCGCAATAAGAAGAAAGAGGCCGAAATACGTGAGTGCGAAGAGCTTGAGATGCTGGCCGACAGGAAGAACGCCCGAAAATTCTACGAGAGGGTTAGGCGACTTACGGAAGGTTTCAAGACCGGGGCGAACTCCTGTAAGAACAACAATGGCGACCTAGTGACCAATGTCCAGAATATACTTAAATTGTGAAGGGAACACTTTTACAACCTACTGAATGGCAGCAGCGCTGAAAGTAGTGAAGAAGACGAACCCGAGTCCCAGTCGATGATGATGGAGTAGCTGTCCCACCGCCTGACTATGACGAGGTACGAAACAACAAAGCTGCTGGAGCTGACGGCCTGCCAGCCGAGCTATTCAAGTACGGCGGCGAGGAGCTGATGAGGTGCATGCATCAGCTCGTATGCAGAATATGGTCAGATGAACGCATGCCCGACGACTGGAATTTAAGTGTGCTCTGCCCAATCCACAAGAAAGGCGACCCCGCCATACGCGCCAACTACCGCGGAATTAGCCTTCTAAGCATAGGTTACAAGGTCTTATCGAGCGTATTGTGCGAAAGACTGAAGCCCACCGTCAACGAGCTGATTGGACCTTATCAGTGTGGCTTTAGGCCTGGAAAATCCACCATAGATCAGGTATTCACAATACGCCAAATCTTGGAAAAGACCCGCGAGAATAGGATCGACACACACCATCTATTTGTCGATTTCAAAGCCGCTTTCGACAGCACGAAGAGAAGTTGCCTTTATGCCGCGATGTCTGAATTTGGTATCCCCGCGAAGCTAATACGGCTGTGTAAAATGACGTTGAGCAGTACCACCAGCTCCGTCAGAATAGGGAAGAACCACTCCGAGCTGTTTGATACCAAACGAGGTTTTAGACAAGGGAACTCCCTTTGTGATTTCTTTAATCTGATGTTGGAGAAGATAATAAGAGCCGCAGAACTGAACCGCTCAAGCACAATACTTTACAAGAGCGTACAATTGCTGGCGTATGCCAACGACATTGATATTATCGGTAAAAACAAGGGCTACGTCTGTTCTACCTTCTCGGGATTG